TACTACTATAGTTTCTTTTTTTAATTTCTTTAGTGTAACAAATCTGGTAATTCAAGGTTAATTTAAATTAAACCTTATTCGTCGTTCAAACTTACACAAATACCATTTGGAAATTTCGACCAACTCAATATTAAAAATAAAGTGTTCATGTATGATTATATACGTGCAAGCATAAAATTACTCTCTCTTTCGTTTCAAATGCGTGCAATGGATTTAAATTGATAGGATCAATAAAGGTGTTTCGTTTACTCGAATTTTTTCGGCTTTCCGTGGTCATAGAAGAAAAAGTAATAGAAGGCCGCGCCAACAATTGAAGCAATGCACGGAACGATCACGGCAATCAAAAAATATTTATCGTCTAGCATCCATATCTCCGAGCCATAGATCGTCCATAATAATAGTCGAGCGCCGATATCACTAAGTGGCATCCGAAAAGTTGATTTAAAGAAAATCGTGATCAATTAAGGAAAGAGGTGATGACACATACCGAGCAGGATTTATCGAAGTTCCTTGATAACCGACGCCAATAATGATCAGAAAGATCATTAAGCCGACTAATGGTGGAATCATGATTGGATTAGAAATCATGAACTTGTTGTTTGCATCGGTCATATTGAAAACGGTTAAAGTGAGGACAGCGTCGGTAATAAATTCAACCCTGAAGGTAAATTGACGAAGCTCGTTAAAAATTTTGCAATCACATTCTCGAAGAGTTAAGTGTGAATACCATATCTTGTAGCCGGTGTTAACATAACTGTTCGGCCGGGTTAAATACAGTGCCGCGAATTCGATGGAACCATCGGTGTTTGCATTAAGATGGTGAATTGTAGAATAGTAACTCAGATAAGCTATTCCAGTAGCAATAAATGCGCCGGCTATTTGCGCGAATATGTACAAAGGAACTACAAAATTCGCATCAGGTTAGAGTGACGATTTGTTTACACGAAAATTTGACCTCTTGGTCAAATTACCAAGTTTCCATGGGAATTTTCGGAAGGAGGCGAAGGCGAGGGTGAAATTTGGAGCGGTATGACCACCGGAAATTGGGGCTGCAAAGTAAAGAGCGAACATGGTACCGAAAGCAAAAGATAATGCAATATTAAAGCGACCGGATATGTTGTTTACAGGATCTTGGGACAGTGGTAGCGAAGTTATACCGACACTGAACGTGACCCACATATATCACAATTAGGCTTGGAACTTAATTTAAAGAAAAGACTTATACACTTAATTTTGTAGAAAGCGTAGCTAACAATAAGGAAGTGCCATCTCCAAAAAGACAGTAAAGGAAGGCGGCAACACCTTCTGCCATCAAAGGTCGAAGAATTTTATTTCTTTTGGTTTCCCAGTTAACCTGCCATTCAGCTCCTTCGACGGAAGGAATTACTAGTTCGTCGGAGGCATTAGATGGCTTGGGATTTTTGGGTTTGGCTGTTTCAATCTCCATTGATTTCATATTTACTTGCAAACATGTAATATATCAAATTTTTTTGAAAGTCGGTGACAATCAAATTTCATTCTACGCGTGAATAAGGAAGGCCTTTTCCTTCAATCATCCAAGATTATCTTCTGATCAACCGTCGTATAAAACAAGTCGATATTTAGTAACTAACAAAATAAATATTTTAATTATGACAATCGAATTATTTATATGTACAGGGTACTAATTCAAATTTGACTTGAAATAATAGCAAAAGTGTTACAATTGTATATGCTATACTGTATTAAGCAAATACTCATTAAAAGTTTTATACTTTGTGTTTAATAAAATTAATATATCTTTCATTTAATTTATCTTTTTCTTTTATTCTTTATTTAGTTAAAATTAATAAAGATAAAATCTATATTTTCAAAAACAAAAAAGAATACTTAGAAAGAAAACTAATGGAGCGATAAATCATTTCTAAAGTTATACTTAGAGTTTTGGATAAAAACTTTGACAAATGAGTTAGAGATTTAGCTTTAGCATCATATATCAATTATGTTTAATAAATATTATGTTTCTTTAAAATTCAAAATCAAATTAAAATTGATAAAATTCTTTATAAGAC